ATGTAAACCTTCAGTTACCAGACTGATCCTCAAAGAAAGCACCTTGGTCCCACCAAATTTGGCAAATAAATTTTCATTTATGTGTTTTAAGTAAAAACTAAAATTGTTATATATACATAAACATACATACACACACACATATACCCCTATGCACATTTTAATGATTTTCCATTCTACCTGCATTTTCCAATCACCTCATCAGCTACCAGTCTCCCTCTCATTGGATAAAGGGACTTCTACAGTAAAGATCAGTAAATATTTACTGATGTGATCATTTGATTATAGATTTGACTGTGAGTTCCATTACACAAAGGGGCATGTCTACCGGGTTCAACCCCAGAGTTCTAGCGCCTAGCACTGGAATGTACATACTCAGTAAGCATTACTCTCAATAAATGAATGAAAGATAATTTCCCTTTACTTTGTGTTGTGCAGACATAGTAGATAATATAGCAAAATATTTAAGCAGATTTCTGAAAGGTGCTGAAAGCAGTGGAAAAAATTATCCCTCAGAACTCTTCTGAGCAGTAAGTGTTAACTTCAACCCTGTGGAAGATTGTTCTTCCACAGAGTGTGGGGACGTGTTTCTTTCTGACTGATGGGCTGGCTGCCCTGTTTTGTCTGAACAGGACTCCCTGGATAGTCGTGGATCTGAAGCAGGGAATGAAGGAAGCACTTTTTCCTCTTCTCTCCTCTCTTTATGCTGTGAGAAATCTATCCTCCTCCATGATCCAGGCTTAGTGAACATAACAGATGGGTTTAATCCATAAAAATGAAAAACTTTTCCCATTTCAACTCCATTTCCTGCTCCTCTAAGTAAAACAAAGCTTTCCCTGAGGAAATGATGTAAATGCACTCAAATGTTCTTAAAAGATGCCACATAGCACAAAATATTGCTATACACTAAACCACGAGTTTTTCATTTACATTTAAAAAGAAATATGAGTGTGGTAGTGGAAAAAATACAGATTGGAATTAGGACATGCTTTCACTGTGATCTCCCTCCCCAAAGCATCAATTTCCTTGTCTGGAAAATGGTCTTGGTAAAAATACACACCCTACCTATGTTACAGCATTCCTGTGAAGGATCAAAATAAATAACATACATGAAAACTTCTAAAATACTACAAAAGGTAAAGTACATTTTTCCTGTCACTGTTACTACAAGGTCCCCACACCAGATTTCCTCAGCAGCTTCAGTCTCTGCCCTTCTCTGCCTGGCAGGGTACACACAACTCATTGCCTTTCGCACAGACACAGGCCATCTTCTGTTACTGCACTTGAGAAGATGCTGGAGTCTACTGATTTCGGGGTAGACAGTCAGGTCCTGCTCCAGCAAACCTTCTGGGGAAATCCATGGAACACTCAACCTGTAACTCCTCCCATAGTCTTTTCAAGACAGATATAGAGAGAGAGCATGAGTCAAGGCCCCTGTAAAAACCATAATTTCATTGCCAGTATGGGTTTAAACAGCTTTGGTATCCATCTGTAAAATGTCATTCCTGTTGGTTCTATCCTAGTAGTTCCAACAATAGAAAATTACAAATTCACCTCCCTCAATAAAATGTATTAAGTCTGCAGTCTCTGTATAATATATGTGCACTCAAGCTACACTAATTTATTCTACAATTACTTTTATTTTTTAGCATTTTTATTTGGCTCTTATGCTACATAATTAATGGTGTTTACATGGAAAGTTTCTCTAATGTAAATGGCATAAGTGGATTATTGAGAAAGCCTTAAAACAAATAAACATTTTTCTCCTTTTAAAATTTTCTTCACTCTCCTCTGAATGTCTGGCACAAGAGCAGAGTTTTTTAAATGTCAAGGGGAATATAGAAATCAGGCTACTGAGATCCATTCTCCCCTGGTAAGACAGACTTGTAATTCTGTTTCCTGTAATGGTTGGCCTGGGGGAGTCAACAGCGACCCCACTGACCCAACACATCCAGACTCAGAAGCCAGTCTTTTCTTTGGGAGGTTGCCACTGTTTTTCTCATGACCTTAAACATAACACAATATCTGGTCCCTACAGATGACTTCCCACAGAGTTTGCGGTACTGGGGATGAGACGTTCATGAGATAAACAAATAAGCTCACTATAAAGACCAGAAAAAAAACAGGGAAGGAAACCTACCAGGCTTCTAAATACCTCCACCATCATGATCGTATCACCCAGTTGGGGCAATTACTGGGGCTGTCGCTCCTAGTCAAAGTTCATACTGCATGTTTCTTCAGTGGCAGCACAGGGCCAGGTTACTGTAAAATAGAGTTGGCATGAATGACAGTCATTAACTGTCAGGACATACATTATTTTTCTAAGGTGTTCTCAAGAGAAAGTGTTAACAACAAAAGCCATTTCTTTGCTCCTGCTCTCTAAGAGGCAAGGCCTAGCAGGAGGGAGTGAAGATGGCTCACTCCTCACCACACGTCCAGCCCTTAGGAGGTCTTGAAGGCAGCCTCGCTCCAGGTCATCGCTGGAAGAACAGGTAATGTGTTTTCTAAAGTACCCTTGGAGTTAACTCAGGAGTTGCGGACCAGGCTCTACAAGCAGGCTTCCTCTAAAGCAGGCTTCTGTCTCAGAACTGACAGCAAAGCTTGCAGGGCCTTGAGATCTAAGAGACAACTCAACCCATGTGAGTTCTGAACGGATGTTCCAGAACACAGAGATCCTTGCACTAGTCCTATCCAGATTCCAAGAGCATAGCTTGGAATTAGAGTCCAGACCTAGAGGACAAGATGGAGATCAAGTGCCTATGACAAGCCCATTCTGAGTGAACAAAATTGCACAAGACCCATGGCTACACTAAGACATTCATATTCTCTCTTTTTAAAAAAAAAAAATTTATTTATTTATTTGGCTGCACTGGATCTTAGTTTCGGCACTTGGGATCTTCATTGTGGTGTGCAGGATCTTTAGTTGCAGCATATGCAATCTATTTCCCTGACCAGGGATCGAACCCAGGCCCCCTGCGTTGGGAGTGGGGAGTCTTAACCACTGGACCGCCAGGGAAGTCCCAAGACCTTCATTTTCTCTTAAGACTCTTACTTTTCACATCATGTGAACCATATTAAAATCTATATACATCTCACACTTCATAATTTTGCTATGTAAGATTTTATAATTTTGCTTTTGAAATAATTTAGCTAAAGTAACTAAAATATGCTATGATTTCTCAACACTCATCATGTATATTTAAGAACTCTCCCTCAGGAAGAGCATCTCATCTAAAAACTGTTTTCAAATATAACGGAATTGTTTTGAACACTGAATCCAGCAATTAATATAGCTAACGCAGTATTACAGTTTGTAACCATTAATAAATGTTTACTAATTTTTATTTTATTTTATTTTTTGCAGTACGTTGGCCTCTCACTGTTGTGGCCTCTCCCGTTGCGGAGCACAGGCTCCGGACGCTCAGGCTCAGTGTCCATGGCTCACGGGCCCAGCCGCTCCGCGGCACGTGGGATCCTCCCGGATCGGGGCATGAACCCGCGTCCCCCGCATCGGCAGGCGGACTCTCAACCACTGCACCACCAGGGAAGCCCAATGTTTATTAATTTTGCTTTGGCAGATTTTTTTTTTAATTTTGGAGACAACAATTTTTCCTGGTCAGACTTCAGACATTTTCCCAAGCTTAGCTCATATGCCCAGCACTGTGAGTCTTAACACCTAGAGGTAAACTGGTCCTCTGGGCTCGCAGCACTCAGCCAAGCTCTCCCAAAGTGATTGGGCATCGATTACAGTGAGTTCTCAGGGATGCCCAGCCATTTCATGGGACTTCCACCCTCAATTAAAACAATCATGAGGAGGTCTGAACAATCCAAGAAATTCTTACTAATTAAATTCAAATTCTGAAAATTTGTGAATTTTTGGCTCTTTGGAGAAATTTACCAGTAACCAATGCTAAAAACCTTCACTGGTGGCCTTGGGTGGAGGTGGAGTCATTCTTCTCGTTCAGTGGATGAAATCAGGTGTCATAAATCCAATTTACAGTATTTCCATTCTCCAACAAGAAATGAGATTTGGAAGCTGATTTGGAGTTGCATTTCTAGGAAGCTTTTCTATCACTCCACAAAGTTATGCATGTACCACCAAGGTGTTTATAACTAGACCCAAGATAACTTCTTTAAAGATAACATACCAGCAACTGTTAGGTGGAGCATAATTTGTCGATTGATTTTTTTTTCTTTTTTAAATTTTTTTCAGATAAATTAGGTCTTATCAAAGTGTATCAACTCCAAAATAATCATAGGTAGTCTGTTGACAGTCACAAAATCCCCTCTTTTGTTAGCACATGTTGAAGTGATAAAGTTAGAATTTGAAAACTCTACTTTCTAGATGTGCCCTCTAAAAGTTATCACATAACCAATGTGGTTTGTTTAGGGGATTCATTCCTGACCTTGGTTTGTTTTGTATCTTCTCTTAAAGCATTGAATACATACTGAGTGCATAGGGGTAAGCTCAGGGATACCGACATCAGACTGCCTGGGGTGGAATCTCAACTCTGCCATTTTCTAGTTCTGAGAACTAGGGCAAGCTACTAAGCCTCCATTTCTTCTTCTGTAAAATGGTACTAACAATACTTAATAGGCTTATTCTCAGGATTAATCAAGTTATGAACGTAAAGCTGATGGTGAGCAATCAATAAGTGTTAGTTTTGAGTATTACTCATTATTTTCTCACACCTGATGCTCGTTATTAATGGTTCCCAAACATGCCAGGTCACTTTTCCGTGGACTTTTTTTTTAAAACAGTGTGGCCTTGGTTCTTGTATCTCTCTTTTCATGCGTAACAGCCCAAGCGCGGCCACCCTTCAGAGGGACGATCGGCTCAGACCTGGGATCCGCTGATGCCAGCCCGAGCGGCTGGGGGCCGGGGCGGAAGTGCGGGGCGGGCGCCTGGCGGCCGGGGCGGAAGTACCGGCGCACAGCGGAAGCGGCGACCCGAGCAGCCGAAGCTCAGGTGGGTGCCGGAGGTCGGGTGCCGGCAGTTGGGCGCTCGCGGGGTCCCCCCTGGAGTCTGCACGCGGGCTGGAGAGGGGGGCACGGAAGCCCCACACTGTGCCGCACGCTGCCGATTTCGATTGTCACTACAGGAAATTTAATTAAACCGGGAGCCATAAATCCGTGAACCTCTGGGGGCAAATTATAAGCGTGAGTGTGTGTGTGTGTGCGCGCGCGCGCGCGATGGCGCTCTGGGAAGTGAACAGAATCACGGGTGGAAAAGGTAGCTTTTTAAGAGGAAGCAGAAAACATCACAACTTCATGCTTCTTCCGTGATTCACAGATGCCCTGCCTCGGATTTATTCGAGTTTTATGAAGTGGTAGTATAATCTCGACTGGCTGAGATGACTGCCTTTTTAAATAAATATTTTTGAGCAACCATGTTGACCTTTAATTGAGGGCTGAAAGGTTTAATCGTGGGTGCTGGCAGGAGCACTGTGAGTCCTGGGGCTCTCTGGACTTCCAGTCTGCCTTTGTTGGGCAAAAGCAGCCCTCTGGGTGCTGAACCATGAGAGAATAAATCAGAGACTGTACAGTTCTCAAATACTTAGCCTTGTCAGTCACCCCTGACAAATATCCCTCATACAATTTTTTTAACTAAGTCCAGAGTTACAAAAAGTCCCTACTAAATTGCTACTAACATGAATAGGCAAGTGTCTGTTTCTAAGGCTGTTCTGTTGAAGAACAAGGAGTTTTTTGCCTGGCAGATCTTTATTCTTGTTTCTTAACAGAAAGTATTTTACGTCGTACTTTATATTTTGGAGCACTTAAATCCACAGTATGGCCCAGCTAAACCCCAAGGTTCTCAGCTCCTCCAGGACAGGGATAGTGTCTAAGATCTGTTATGCCCCCCACACTTTCTAGCACATTCCCCAGCATAAGCACGTCTCCTTAACCACACATTACCTTGGTTAGGCAGCCATGAGAGCCATGTCTCAGTGTGGGACTGCTAAAGATGAAGTGGCTATTAGAGGCCACAGTCTTCTCATTTACTAATTATCTCAGGAATACTGTGTGAAAATGCTTATGAAGCTGTCTACCAATATTTACAGCTGTATGCACTGAGATTTAAAACACTTGGAAAAAGAGGTGTGCCCTGGAAATACTGAGTGGTTATAGTAATATTGGGGGTAAGGCAGAACTAATCATGGTTCTGTGTGAAATGTCGTAGCCTAATAACCTGGGTCCTGTTCTGCTGAGGAATTGCCTGGAACCAAAAAGGTCCTGTTGTGAAAATTAAGGTTGGCGGGGCTAGTGTTTTAGAAAGGCAGACTCTGCAGAGTTTCTTTCTTCGTGCTTATTGTGGTCAGTAGTAGCTACCTGCCAAGGAAGGATCAATATTTTTATGTCTCCTTTATCGGAGGAAAATATGGCTATGTGGTTTCCTTTAGATGGATTGATGGCAGGTAAGGAAATAGAGAGGAGGATTTTCCAACTTGGGAATTTATTGGACTGTATTTCTATTTTATTCCAGATGCCTGGTTCTCACGGACTTTTAAGTACCCAGAGGCAATGTGGAAGTATGCCTTCAAAATAAGGGTTTTTTTATTATTAAGGTTTTTGTATTTCACAACATGTGCATACTCCAGCTGGCTGATGCATTTAGTTACTCTAATGCCAGGGCTCAGGGTTTCACACGTAGCAGGACCTTGAAGAGATCTGGTACAAGTAGTACTTTTTTTTTTTTATGTTCCTTATTTTAAATCTAATTTTGCCACTGCTTTATTCAAGGAGTGTACATCAGAGGAAGCCAAAAGCCAGCTGGAATAGTTCCTGCATGCAGTTTTAATATTGTTTGCAATTATTTTGAAGGGGAGAAACTATCTGGATCCAGGGATGTGTAGCTACACAGGTAGCAGGGACTACGTGAGCTTCCTTCATCCTTCCCGTAGTATCACATAGCAAGTTTGAGAGACAAAATTATTTGAGGAAGAATATGCAAAGTGAAAGGTTTGGGCTAAGTTTCACGTAGATATTATTCCACATCCCTACCTTCCCATCTCAGTTACAGCCGCAGAGAACTGGAGGCATGAAAACATTACTCTCTTTTCATTCCAATCCTTACCCAAGATAAGATTTCCAGAGATAGAGGCAAATTCAAAATACCTTCTATTTTAAGAAAGGATTTCAGAGCATTTTACCAGTAATATCTAGTAATAACCATTTTACTGCTATAGGCTTCATCACTTTGGTATTGTATTATTTGTTTGTAAATCTTTCCCCTACCCAAGGTGTGTCCTTAAGGGCAGGGAAAGTATCTTAATCACTTTTATATTTCTAGTATCTGGCATGGTGCCTGGCACATAACAAACACTCAGTACATGGTATAGAAGGGAGGCTGGATCTATACGGAGTATGAAAGCATCACTGGGAATGCAACAAGGTAGAGAAGAGAATATAAAGCAGTAACCTTTCAAGGAGCTACCAGTGCAGTTATAAATGCTGCAGTTACTAATGCCTCGATAAACAGCTTGGAGTAGGGAAGGGCATATTTGAAAATCTACAGATGGTCACCAAACTGCCTTCCAAAGAGATCTAGCCTGATCAGTTTACATGGTCTTTGTTATACTGAATAGAGTATGTAAACTAAAAGGCCCCACCAGCCCCCTCTCCACTCTCTCTCAAGGCCTGCCATACCCAGCTCCTCACCCGTTGAGTGAATATTTGAAAAGTATCCATTTGAAGGTATGCCAAATTATTAGCTTACCTAGGCCACTAATATCTTGGTCTGGTCCTGCCTTAAGGATAAAGGACTTATGTTTGTTCACTATTTTAAGGCTAGGTTACCCAAATAATATTGAAGGAAAGCCACAAACATCTTTTCTACTTTACTAACATTTCAAAAGAGTTCAAAGTTGACAGCTTTGTGTATTGTAATAGGGCAGGCATGTGGTATATGCTGCTTCCTTCTGTTGCCAATGGAATTCCAACAGAAACCAGAATGTTACTACTGGAAACAGATGAACTTCCTCTCATTGTTCCTGTACTTTTTCATATTAATCGTGAAATAATGGGGAAGTGGCTTCTACTTTAGTCAGAGGGAAGGACAAAGACTGAATTATTTAATTTTTTAAACTCTTTTCTTCTTAAAACATGTAGTTCTTCTAGTCAGCCAAGAGAAAGGATACTGTTATTTAATAGAAATTTAGTCAGCCAAAGCATCTTAGGATATAGACTGGAAAAAAAAAAATGAGACAATTCTAAACTCAGCTCTGTTTCTCCAAGTTCGAAAATAAAGTTAATCTGTATCATCTTAGATTTAGAGATCAGAACCTCTTTCTTATAGTAAAAGAATTCTTCCATCCGAAGCTGAGAGTTTTCCTCATTCTCTCCATCCTTAAATTAAATCTTAAACAAAATGTGATATCTGTTATTCAGTATACTCTGAGGATTCATGTATAAAACTTTTTGAGACTTTTTTTGGAAAAAGGGGGTTGAACTTGGAGGTCCCTTGCAGTTCTGAGAATTCTGTGTTGGTCTCATCATACATAAAAATAGGCACTGTTCAAAGAGAAATATAGAGAAAAAAAATTGCAGTATAAAAGGCTTTGGTAAAACAGTTTCTTTATCCATAAAGCAAGGGAAATCTCCAAAGTGTCTTGGCATCCAGTTCCAAAATATTAAGATTTTTCTATCAGTGACAAGTTTTAAGTAACAGAATAGGACTCAGAGAATTGCAGAATCTCACATAACTGAGGGTGGCTGAGGCATGACCTCAAGAGTGGATAGTTCCCAACATTCAGGTATTAGTGTCACAAGTCCAAAGAAATGCTGGATTTAATATCTCAAATGTTCCAAAGTCATTTGCTACAAAATGGCTAAAAATGAATGAAGCATCTTTCAGGTCTTGTGTGGTCATGTGGATAACGCGCCTCTTAGGCAAGATGAATTGGAAATGGTGGAGTATTAGTGACAAATGGAAGGCATTGCCTGGGTGGATGGAGTTTGAACTGCAAACAGTTACTTTTGGAAATGAAGTTGTGTGCTTTTTAAATAGCAAGGAAACTGGCATTACTAGCTGGGCACAATAAGACTAAGATGTTTTAATGAAATTGCCTTCTTTCTGGGTCAGTATTAAGTATCAGATATACCTTCAAAGGGAATGGGTTATTTTGGTTAAGAAGGATAATGTGGAGAGGAGTCTGCATAATTCCTTATGTACTTTGTTCCCATCCCTTGAACTAGCATGATTTTGCCGTCATCTGAAATGCTATCTTTATGGAATGAGGGAATTTTCAAATTGGTTTTTAAATTCTATTAAGCCCTCATGTATGATATAACCCAACCACATTATTCAGGCTTTCTTGGCTTTCAGCTTTGCAGCCATTATGTCTTTTTTTTAACATCTTTATTGGAGTATAATTGCTTTACAATGGTGTGTTAGTTGCTGCTGTTTAACAAAGTGAATCAGCTATACATATACATATATCCCCATATACCCTCCCCGTTGCGCCTCCCTCCCACCCTCCCTATCCCACCCCTCTAGGTGGTCACAAAGCACCGAGCTGATCTTCCTGTGCTATGCAGCTGCTTCCCACTAGCTATCTATTTTACATTTGGTAGTGTATATATGTCCATGCCACTCTCTCACTTCATCCCAGCTTACCCTTCCCCCTCCCCGTGTCCTCAAGTCCATTCTCTACATCTGCATCTTTATTCCTGTCCTGCCCCTAGGTTCATCAGAACCATTTTTTTTTTAGATTCCATATATACGTGTTAGCATACGGTATTTGTTTTTCTCTTTCTGACTTACTTCACTCTGTATGACAGACTCTGTAGGTCCATCCACCTCACTGCAAATAACTCAGTTTCATTTCTTTTTATGGCTGAGTAATATTCCATTGTATATATGTACCACATCTTCTTTATCTGTCTGTGGACACTTAGGTAGCTTCCATGTCCTGGCTATTGTAAATAGAGCTGCAATGAACATTGTGATGCATGTCTCTTTTTGAATTATGGTTTTCTCAGGACATATGCACAGTAGTGGGATTGCTGGGTCATATGGTAGTTCTATTTTTAGTTTTTTAAGGAACCTCCATACTGTTCTCCATAGTGGCTATATCAATTTACATTCCCACCAACAGTGCAAGAGGGTTCCCTTTTCTTCACACCCTCTCCAGCATTTATTGTTTGTAGATTTTTTGATG